AGTTCATTGCCACTTCAGCTTGCTTATCCTTTGAGCTATGTTGATCACTTTTATTCTTTTGCGGATATTCTTATTCCTCATTAAACAAAAAATTGCTTGTTTTCGAATACGGTAATAGGGTGCTGGTGTTAGGGGGCTTAGTCCCAGCATAAAATAGGCCACCCCTTCCTTTCCCGTGGATGTGATAAGTGGCAGATAAAGGCTCTTGTGGTATAGAAATGGGAAGCAGCCTCCCTCTTAAAACATAACCAAAAGCCAAATTGCGGTTGCCAACCCGCTTGTCAAGCGTGACAATTACTGGCAAAACCCCCCTTCTGATGGAGGCTACATTCAGCAGTGGGCAGTTAATGGCTGATACAACAACATAGGTAAATAGGTAGCACCTAATGTCTGTCACATTCTCAATTTATTCTAATAATGTGACTCGCCAAGGCCATGTCTAGTCTAGACACGTTTATTATAAACTTTGGGTATTTTTAAAATAAGAATCTGTAACGAAAATCAATTCGTGAAAGTTGGACGTAATATTTGCTATTTTTAAAATTACTTTATATTTTCAACTTTATGGTCTAAACTAGCTTATACAAGTTGTTGGCTTAATTTTAAGCGATATTAATATATTCTCAATTTCTTTTATGATTTTTTTCTTATAAAGAAACTCTCATGATGCGATATTTCCATTCGTCCGTCGGTCACAGCGCTGTTCAAGTCTGAAATATGAAACAATTCTGCATATTGTTAACCTACACATATTGCAATAAAAATATTTAAAAAATATTTTGATTTTCTTTGCCAAAAAGAATCCAAAAGGGGTACTCAACATTTCAAGATTGAGCTACTAGTCCAAGATGGATATCTTTTTATTTAGAACTTTTACTTATGATCGAAAATGTTAGTATAATATACCATACTCCCTCTATCGTATCTTCGAAGTCTCTGAAGCAAAAAGATTGAATTAATTATAGTTTATTAAGATACATGTGAATATTACAGTAAAAATAAAACATTATTTCTAACTAGTAACGTTTTTGAGGGATTATCTAAAAACCTCCAAAAATAAGCTTAGTTATACGGTCCCATAATAATCACAATTAAAGTCCAATATAATAAATCACATATTATAGTATTAATAATAAATAAATAATAATATAATAAAGGCCGTTTTATTTCATATAGTGTACGGAATCTTCGGTGTGAGAATTCAACTCTCACCTTATAAGTTTTTTTATTAGTCTCTGAAAAACTGTTATATTGAAATGAAGGTAAAAAAATGTACCTAATTTATCTAAATGATCGCGTTAATTTTCATTTCTAATAAACTAAAAACGCAAAAGTCTGAAAGTTAATATAAGAGAAATGTTTATTCATTAAATAAACATTTCACTATCAATCTCTATCAATTACGTGTCATGTGTGAGTCGTATGTGTGTGTGTGTGTTACAAATATATTAAAGAAACAATTTGGACATATCCATATAACTTTCAAGATACCCCACAGGTCATAAATTAAATACTCATAAAGTGATAATTTTAGCAGTATCTATCTTTATGTCTGTTTCTTACATCCATACAATGTACTGCTTCACTCATTTTCATAATTTGGTCACTAACATTGTCATAGAGTCTAAAATACATTTTTTTAATAGGTGAAAATGGAATGATCACCCCGTCTGCACTATTGGTATATTCTGGCGGGGCACCAGTGAAAATTTATAGATAAAGATGAAAGCAGGCCAGTAAGCATATAGTGACGAATTTCATAATAATTAACTGCGATGGTTTTCAGGGGGAACCGCTTGGATATAGACTGATAGACTATATTGCTAGCAATTTACCTTTCAGACAGCATTACTAACAATTCTTATTCCCCTAATATTAAATTTTTGTTAACTAAAAATAGTCACAGATATTATAATAATATAAAAGTTGAAAATAAACAAAAATATATTTAATTATTAACAAAAAATAAATGGAACCCGTGACGATTTAAAGGCGAGGCGGTGTGTTAAACCGCTGCACCACCGAAATTGTTTTCTATCAAAATATACTTCTTGTAACATTTTAGGTCACGAGAAGTAGTTTTTTATAGATTAAGTTATATCTATTAATTACATCTACAAACTGGTACCGATTGTCTACGTTAACATGGCACACCCCTCCAATTTTTTTACTTCAATGCGAATGACCATATCAGACTGGTGGTGCTCTGTTTGTGTTTGTGAGGAAACGTCTTCAGTAGTTGTATAGAAATATATCAAAGAGTATTATACTCCTTGGTTAAATCATTGTAAACATTTTCATTGGCACATTTTTAATTCTTTAAGAGGCGTATCATGTTATTATAGACAATTTATATTTAATTAAAATGTAAACTGAGATATAATAATCTTAAATAAAATAGCAATAAATATTTCTAAAAAATTGTCTGGACATTAGAATACATTTCACATACATGTCGTTTCTACAAATTATCAATAAAACAAGTTTTTTATGGCGGGCATGTAATATCACTACATAGTATAAAATAAAGTCGCTGTCGTTGTCTCTCCGTCCCTATGTATGCTTAAATTTTGAAAACTACGCAACGGATTTTGAAACGGTTATTTTTTTAAATAGATAGTGATTCAAGAGGAAATTTTATATGTATAATATAGTAGATAAACATTGATAATTTTAGAGATTTCTAATGTGATGAGATGTAGTGTGCACCCGTGCGAAGCCAGGGCGAGTCGCTAGTTTATAATAAATCATTGGTGCTATCACACATAGATACATTTAATACTAATGCGACAGTGGCGAGAGGAATGTTAAGTCGGGAATTTTTCATGTAAAAAATCTTTAATTAGCCTATTTTGTCTTTCAACATATATGTATGTTATATATGATGACAAGCATAATTTCGTTATTGTATTCTTGTATTTCTAATGTTATCTTTTAAGCATGTTATATTTTTTTGTTTATTATTTCATTAATGTGTGCGTACTTGCATTTACAGTTGCCCATTTTACGCGTTTCTTTTATATTCTATAACTATGTGTGGAGACCCATTATTGGCTATCTTTTTTATTATAATATGTATTTTCTGTTATTATTGGAAAAGCTGTTGGTCTTACAAATAAATAAATTAATAATATAACATTCTGAAACACTGTCTAGTTAGATAAGGTCATTGATTTGTTTCAGATGACGTTACGCATGACTTGCCTTTCAAGGTCTTGATTCACGGTTTCTTCCAAACATATACTTACTTGCTATATAACATTTACCTATAAAACGTTTGAAGTAAAGGCTCTAATAGTAAGTAGATACTAATTTAATTAACACTATATTTATATGGTCATACGCTGTGTCGTTCTGAATGCGTTGAACACGTTCGTGGACTTATTAAAACATTAGTACAGACTGGTACATTTTTTTATCGGTGAAACGGTATGGTAACCCCGCTTGTGTTAACGGGATACGCTGGCGGAGCACCAGTGAAGGGTGGTAGATGAGAATGAAAACAGGCTAGTTAGCCCATCATGATGAATTCATCAGGAATTAACCATGATAGTTTCCAGGGAGAACCGTGAGGAGTTCGACCTGGTTGGGTATATTGCTAGCAATAGGATTCTCTCCATTACTAACAATCCCTTTCCCTACTGGTACATATTGGTAGGCATTGAATGGGCCACCTCTTCCTTTATCGTGGGTGTTGTAAGAGGCGACTAAGGGAACTTAATTGTCGAGGGATGGGCAGCAGCGTCTCTCTTTAAACATCATCAAAGTCTACCAAGCATAGTAACAATTTTTTTTCAAAACGTTGGCGATAAAGAAGCAGGTATGTAGTTACTATTTACATGTAAATTTTTTTTATACTAAATAATAATAAACATTATGTGAAACAAACTACAGTGCATTAATGAAAACCGCATTCAAATCAGTTAACCGGTTTCTGAGATTAGCGCGCACAAACGTACAGACAAACAGACAAAAATTCTAAAAATCTTTTAGTTTCTATTGTGTTCATAAAGTCCCCCTATGGAAGTTTTTCTTATATATATATATCTTTCATGTACAGACTATGAACAGTTACGATTTTATTATATGTATTGATTTATACTTTAATTTATAATATAATTATATATACATTTGATAAACGTAACACCGTATGGTGTTCTTTACCAGTTAACTATTGGGCAAATAGAGAAATAGGTAGGCGGTGCATTCATAAATTAAGAAAACATAAACTAATACTTAACATATTTATACAAACAAGTTTTTTTTTTCCAAATAAACTTGGTTCGAATAAAAAGATTGCGTTCCACCAAAAAAAAAACGGACTTCAATTGTGACAAAACCAGTTATTTTGATTTAAAAACTAATAAAAAAGAATTTTCCAAAATAAATTTATAAATGACGGAGTTATGACGTAACTAACATAAAAAATACAACTAAATTGAGGACCTTCTTTTTCAGGTTGGTTAAAAATGATACTAATTAGACAGCAATGACAGCTGAATGCGCCATGCTAATATGGAAGGTGCAAATTTTTTCTTCTTTCTAATCCCCTTACTCAATTCAAGGTATTTTTTTAATTACACCGATTTCATTATTAACAACTTTTTATGGAATATCAACATATTATTATATTTATGTGTATTTAATTTTTAGAGTTATCAAAATCGATAAACAAACATATGAATATTGTTTACTAATTATATCAAATATGGAAAAATAGATGATTATACAATTTACGCAATTATTAAAAAGATTCTTATTATAACATTAGAATTTTGTATAATTTCCACTTAAAAAATAATTGATATTTGCTTATTGCTTAATAACCCATTTCCTTTTACTCCCTCAAATTATCTGAGTATATCGATTACAGATTTGCGTGCATTTAATAACGCAGTAGATACCTTCACGCTAGTACATTTAAATATTTGTAACGCGGGAACGCGTTATCAGTAATAAACAAAGATAAGAATATGAAAATTTATATGATATTTACTTACACCTTACAAATGTTTATTGACACTGCACAAAATGATACAGCACAAAACCGGTTTTCAGTTATCGATAATTTCGAAAAACGCGCGATTTAAGAACACCAATCTTCATATACGAGTAGTTACACGTCGAGTTCACTTTGTTATCGGCGCGGCACTAACACGAGCAGTTATTTTACGCACACATCTATAAGTTTATAACTCAACACAATGGTTAGGTACCACGAAAATAGTGCTGTGAAAACCGGTCGTATCGTATCTTTCTTTTAGCGGACAGATGTTAAAATTGCGTAATGCGACCGAAAACTGTCGGATTTGACTTTCGCTTCAATACTACCGCGCGGCGCCTACGTTCAACGCATTCGATTTTATTTTAGCTCCGTGTTCCTAGTAATTTGTAGGCCAAGAGCCGACATACTGTTAATCAATCTATGTAAATTAGATTACAACCGTGTATTTTTCGTTGCCATTTTTAAATCTTTTTTTTTTTAACTGAAGTTTTCTTTTGCTGACTTTGTGTCACCTAATTATTTAATGCATGAGTGCAACATAAGACGGAATTTTTGTGATATTGATATTTTTTGGATACACATACGAAAATAAAGTTAAATAAAAAAATTTAATATATTTATATTAAGAGATAAAAATCCAGAAAATAAACTATATTAAAAAAAATTATTATGCCAATTTTTAATTGCGTACAAGATGTTTACTGTCTATACTCATGGAAATTAAAATTAAAGCATTTGCTACTATTTCTTTTTTTTTTTAACTTCTGAAATAATCTTTTTAAGTTTAATAATAATAAGTATTTCAATTGATTTACGTTTCTAGAACAAATTTATATTTATATTCAAGTCAAAACACCATCTAGACTAACTAAATTAAAAATAAAAAATAAATAATTTGTATTTATATATTTATATTATTGTACCTGTGCTCTAAGTGTACTAAGAGTAGGTATCTGGTACTATAGAACGACTGAACTATTTTGACACTTGTTCAATGAATTGTAAAATAATAATCAATGGAAAAATCCCACAAAATTGAATGTAAATATCAAAATAGGTAGCAATTTAGTACTTATTTATAAAAAACGGAACTACCCGACTGATCTAACTCATGAAAACAAAAAATATTTGATCTACAAAAATGAAAGAAAAAACAGACAAGAATTTTTCGAAGTTACCGGCTATAAAATCTATTGTCTAAAAAATTTCTCAGAAACATACTAGTGTAAGGCGTTATGACTTTTTTTATGTTTTTATAAATACTTATAATTATCACTATGTCTGAAGTAATTATTCACTTGATCTGATCAGCTACTAATCACCATCAGTATCATACAACCACGAAAATTTTTATTACCATACAAACCATATGATGAGTGACAATCATCCGTCATGTATTTTTATTAGAAATTCTTTCCACATAAGATAACACTATAGAATCAACTTTTAGCATCAGCATACGACATCGAAACCTTACAATTAAGAGCATGTTTTTTCATACTCCTAATGGTCCGGCAAACACACTTGCAGTTCTTCGAGTATTACAAGTGCTTATGAGCGGAAGTTTAGAAGCCAGTCTATTATTTATAAATGCTCCTTTGATGTATTTCAGATAAAAGTCATAAATTACTTACTGAGAGTACTTTGTATTATTATATCATAGTTCCAATGTGCTAATCGCTTACTCGTGAAGTGACTGATAAAAGTACGAAGTTGTTTTCAATTTGATGACATTTCGAGACATGTTGATTTTGATGTTGACGTTCATGTGACTAGAGGGAGACTTTGTACAAAAGTTGATTGCTTGGGTACCTCTGTCCTATTCGTGTTTCAACCGTGAAGCAGCTGTGTTTGCATGGCTGTATTTCGGTTTGAAGGGTGGGATATGGCGTGAATTTACAGGGTACAGAGGAATAACACCTGAGTTCTCAGGAATGGCAACGCATGGGGTGTATCATGGGCGAAACAGTATACTCTGTTACGTCCATGGTACTGCTCATGTCTATAGGCGACGGTTACCACTTTTCATCAGGTGGACCGTCAGCTTCTTTGCCATTCTAAGTTGTATAAAGAAAAATATTTATCATTTAATAGTAGTAATTTCACATAAATTCATGAGAATAACCTCTATAATCTATCTGAAGTATATTAAACATTTCCTTTTTCCATTTAATTACATCGTTAATGTTTTTATTGATATTACAGTACAATACAATATTTCATATATATAATATAAATACATTACTTTTTAAACGTAACATAAAAAATAAGTTTTATTATTAATTTCTTGATTCCCACAAAATATTTTAACTCCAATTGGAAAAAAAAATATTATGTCAATAATTTATTGCTAATATTTTGTGGTTATACCTATGAGTATTTATTTTTATTTTCAAAGTTTATAAGAGTTTTTCTTTCGTATACATTTTATCCTTCTTAATAGACCACCCAGATGAAACAAAGCGTTCATCGAATTCACGTCAATAATTTTTCTTTAATTGAAATCTACTTATCTATTAGTGTAGACTAAAATTTAATTACACAAATTGATAACATAAAATATAAGAATAATTAGTTATTATCGAATTATTTTTTACGAGTTAAGAAAACAAAACTGATAACTAGATGTAATTAATAACAGCACAACATCAGTAACCACTAGTTTTTACATTCATTATCTTTGTATTTATAAATATTCTAAAAAATAAATACATTGGCAATTGTAATTCCTAATAAGAGAGTAGAAATGTTTTTCGACAGTTAAAAATAAATATTAAATACAATAATAATGTAAATATTTTATTTAATGTAAAGAAATATAAAAACATTTTATCTTAACCGCAAGAGTATCAAATAACTACAGTCGGTGTAATCATTATAATAAGACAAAGAGGCCTTACAAGGCTGAGCGCAAGGTTGACAAAGCAATGGCAAAAAAAAACTAAATAAAAGTATTAATACTTACTTAAGAGATGCATAGGTATATATGTATAATATATTAATATTATTTATTAATATTTATTTATTTATTATTAATATCAATTTATTAATCATCGTCAATTTGTGAGATGATAATGTGTAATTAAAAGAATTTATATTACAATTTCTCATCAATGTACTAGGTGAGGATGCTATTTAGTGTTAAGTCTGTATATCTTCTAGTAATAAGAGAACAATAAAATTATTACAAATAAATAGAAAATATTGCAAATTTTACTCATAACATAATTAACTTAACGACGTCAATTTACGTGCCCGTCAATTAATTCAGAAAAATGCAAATTATTGGAATATTCCATAATAAACTATTAATTTTCTTAGTGTACCAATCAAACAATAGATTTGCATGTGAATACTGTGATTTAGCAGTATTTATTCACTTAACAATTTTCTTGGTAAGCAATTTTTATTTCAATTTCCATCGTTGTAAGATCAAAATTATTTGAGTGTAGTAGAACAACAGAAATGTCACGTCATAAATTTTGATAATAGCTTGGCTAATAAGCAAGTGGAGTAATATCGATGCTTACCAAATACTTGGTTGAACTGTAGTTGAATATTGATTGATGCGATGAGTAAGATATTGTGACGTTTTCAAGGTTAGTTGACTAATCGTCATAAAAAGCAATTGTATGTACTATTCCACAATTATTATTTAATATTATCACTATATACGAATACTATGAATACATAGTAAAAAAACTAGGATAATGTCACAGTATAAGTAATAACTTATACTGTGACATTATCCTAGTTTTTTTCGTGGCTTCGTCTGCATAACTGAAATTGATTGACCGCAATAAAAACTAGTCTACGTGAATATAACGTAAGTATATGAACCAGAGGGAGATTCTGTACAAAAGTCGATTGCTTGGGTACCTCTGTTCCATTCGTGTTTCAACCGTGAAGCAGCTGTGTTTGCATGGCTGTGTTTCGGTTTGAAGGGTGGGATATGGCGTGAATTTACTGGGTACAGAGGAATAACATCTGAGTACTTAGGAATGGCAACGCATGGGAGGTATCATGGGCGAAACAGTATACTCTGTTATATCCATGGTACTGCTCATGTCTATAGGCGACGGTTACCACTTTCCATCAGGTGGGCCGTTAGCTTGTTTGCCATTCTAAGTTGAAATGTCTTCACACAATTGCATACGTTTTACTTTTCTATTATTATTTAGTGAAAATGAAGTGGTATCACTGTCTGCGCCATCAGTATACGCAGGCTATTATTGGATGATAATGAAATGGTAAACCTGCCTGCGTTAACGGCATACACTGACGGGGCACCAGTAAGTGATGATAGATGAGAATGAAAAGGCAGGTCAGTTAGCCCATCGTGATGAATGCACCTGGGATTTAGCACGATGGTTTCCAGGGGGGATCACATGGAGGTCGACCTGACAAAGTATACTGCTAGCAATGGAACTGGTAGTCCACATTACTAACAATTACAGATTAAGATAAAATTAGGTTAGTTTGCCCATGATTGCTAATTCGCCGAGAATTAACTACGATTGTTTCCTGCGATTGGGGGACTGCGTGGAGATCGGTCTGAAAGGACATATTGCTAGCAATGCAGACTAATTTTGCCATTACTAAATCCCTTCACCCTTCACGCTTCTTGATATATTATAACGGGAAAATCGTATGATATGGTGTCGTATTATGGTAAATTATAAAAGTACTCATAGGTATATATAGATTTAGAAATAATATGGGTGCGGTAGTCACGCGATCTGGCCATAGGTCATGCATTGGGGTTAACAGCAAATAGGTTAATGTATAGTTTAGCCTTCGTAGAACATTTCATCAAATCGATGCGACGATTCCGGATACAAACAGCTTGTTGTTATTCTAAATAAAAAAAAAAAAAAAAAATCAGCCGAGACTAAGTTCTAAAAGAAGGTGTTTGCGTATTTGTTTTTTTTTTTGCATGAACATGATACAAATTTTGAACCGATTTTAATAAGTCTGGAATATTTCACATTTACCATGTTGTTTTTCATGTTGTTTGTCACTCTAGATACGTTACTTTACGTGTATATAGACTGTTACAAATTAATATAAATAAAATTGCAGATAGTCACTAACTTCGGATTTATTCGTGAGTTATCGGCGGCCCTTATTGTTACAATAAAATGAAATCGCAGTAGATGATAAACTGGGCCGTACAGAATAAGCGAGTAGAGACTTTATGACACTGTGTTAAAGTCTCCATTCGCTCCCTCTTATCATAGAAGTAATAATTCATATATAACTTTTAATAGCAAATAGTAGCAAGTGTCGTATTTAATCATTGTAAGCGGAAGTCACATTTATTATTTCGTCATAGTCGTAGAATACCGACG